GGTGATGATACGGTGATGAGATACGGTGATGATGCGGTGATGATACGGTGATGAGATACGGTGATGATACGGTGATGAGATACGGTGATGATACGGTGATGATACGGTGATGAGATACGGTGATGATACGGTGATGAGATACGGTGATGATGCGGTGATTATACAGTGATGACAGTGATGATACAGTGAAGATACGGTGATGATACAGTGAAGATACGGTGACGATATGGTGATTTTACGGACCTTCTTGTGGTCTGCAGAGGAAGAATCGGCGCTCTGCTCAGAAACATCACCCAGGCCCGGCTCCACATGTTTGCCTCCTTCCTTTTTGGGCACCGTTAGCATCTCCAGCATCACGTCCACGTCCGTTGCGTCTCCGCTGGGCGTCATGGTCTTGTCCAGGCTTCCTGATGACTCCACAGCCTCCACCTTATCTCCTTCGCCCACGTCGCCGTGGATGCCGAACTGCGTGGGGTCGGGCATGTTGCCCAGGATGTCGGTCACCTTCATGTTCTTGGCTCCCTCCACGAGCCCTCCCCCGAACATGGAGGACCAGATCAGGTGGAAGAAGCCGAAGACGAGGCTGAAGATTCCTTTAAAGAAGCCGATGAAGAGCATCCAGCAGAAGGAGAAGAAGCCCGTGATGAGCTCCTTCATGCTCAGCTTCTTCATCTTCTTCAGCTGCTTGCGGATGTTTTTAAGAGTAAAGACCTGCCGGACGTCTGCGACCTTCTGCCTGACGGAGCGACACGCCGTGGTGAATGCCGAGGCCGACTCCTGGACCTCCTCGTCCGAGAGCTCCTCCAGGAGGCTGTGTCCCTCCTCCTCGTCCTCCTCCTCCGGCTGCTCCACGGCGTCCGGCTCGGAGATCTGCGAGGCCAGCTGCATCTCAAAGATGGTGTCCTCGCAGAAGTTGACGAACATCTCCATCTTCTCGCTGTCCCCGCCCTCGTTCACCACGTCGAAGATGAACTGGCGCTTGGACTCCTTCACCTGCGGCTTCTCCCACTGCTCGCGCGTCGACTCGCTGATCTCGAAGTAAACCCTCTCGATGCGCTTGGCGCTGCCCAGGATCTCGATGCGACCCAGGTACGGCTCGAAGTAGCTGAGCACGCTCTCAGCCAGGTCCAGGAAGGTGGCCAGCCGCGAGTCGTGGGGCATGTGTTCGGACAGGTTGGTCAGCAGCACGGCCACGTTGAAGCCGATGTCTTTGGCCGGCTCGTGGAACCGCTCCACGAACTCCTTGTAGTTAAACATGTCGTTCTCGTCGGCCTCAGCGCACGACAGCAAGAACTCGATCTCTGACTGGCTGTACTGCTTCTGGCTCTCCATGGACTTCTGGAACTCCTTCTTGGAGATGATGCCCTTGCACTCCGGGTCGTACTCCCTGAAGTTGTCGGATGTTGTGAGGTCCTTCAGCTTGAGGAACATGTCGAAGAACTTCAGGATCATCTCCACGTTGCTGGAAGACTCCACCAGAGTGTCGACCATCTGCTTCCCAATGGTGCCGTTCACCACGTTACCTGAGGCACCACAAATTAGAGAACAGCTCTCATCAGTGCAGCTACGCTAACGAGGTCTGGTTCTCGTTTACCCTTTTTAAAAGGAAAAACACTGAATTGTTTTCCTGTTAATTGTTCTAATTATCAGAATCCACACTTTATTTCAATTCTATTCAAAAATTTATTCATTTCATTAAAAAAATAACTATACAATAAAAAAACCAAGAAAATACACAAATCAAAGTAAAATGAAAGGAACAACTTTACAGCTGGTATTATGCCTCAAAGGTGAATATTGTGCCATAAAAGCTCATAAATCCTCAAAAACATGATTTTTCTTGCTTTTATCTACTGTTTATCCATTTGTGCTGCTTTCACAAATCATAAAACATAAAATATCTTAGCTTTACCTCTTATAAGTCAAATAATCAGCTAAATAAAAGTAATTTTGTGTAAAAGCTAGACTGAAGCCCATTTATCCTTGTACTAAATCAAGTAAAGGAACAGACTTTGAATAATAAACTGAATCTTTTATTTAAACTGTAATYACCTGCAGAACTCTGGTTGGACCAAACAGACATGAAAAATACCTGGAGGGTTCTRGTTGCTAGAATATTTGGTAATTTAATCACTGATTTGAACACAAGCAAACAAGTAGTAACAGCTTGAAATATTCAACTCATTATTGTTTTCAAGCCTCAGGTTTGATCCATGACTATAAGACATCCATCGTTAATAAACTCTTCATGTACAGTCGATGGTGGAGGGAGAGAAGCACCAGGTTACAATGTTTTAATCCTGTTTGTGCTCGACCACACTCAGTGTTTTAACATAAAAAATCTGTTGCATAAAATCTATTAAAACCAGAGAATTTGATGTTAACTGCAGTGTGAACGCTTAATGCYAAAAGATTTTTGCTRAATAGGTATTAAAAGAAGCTGAAACTATTAAAATAGCAAAAAGAAATGGGTGAAGTAACTGAAATTAGCATAAAAAAACAAAATGAACACGTTTAGTGAAATAGGAAAGTATCACAAAACTGAATTTAGCTGAAAAAAGCTCAAATAAGCTAAAAAAAAAAGCAGCTAAAAACCCAGCAGAGAAGCTTAAAATAGCAGAAAGATGCTAAAAGAAGCACAAAAATGTCTCTATGAGTAGAACAGCAGAAAATGTCCAAATGATGACTAAAAAGCTGGAAAAAAARGTTAAAATAAGCAAAATAGAAGCTGAACAAAGCTACAATTAGTTTAAAGGAGTTCAAAAAAGCAGAATCAGAATAAAGGGTAGAATGTGCTGTAAAAATTTATGGATATTTTAAAGAGTTTTAAGGATGATGAAAACAGATACATTTATCTTCAATTAGAAATAAAATCACAGAAAAAGCTCAAAATCTGTAAAAATATAACCTGAAAAACCAAATGTCGCAGCAGGAATGTCCTTAAGGAGCTGGATGAGTCGATGAGATACGAGCAGAAAAATGTACAAAAGAAAAAAAGGACCTGGGTTCTTTCTGTTTTCAGACTGATGGCCCAGCATTCAGGGTGACTTTAAGAGTCTGTCTATAAAAACCAGAGTTTTAAAATCCTACAGAGTCTTACCCTCCAGGAGAGACAGCAACATGACCACCATGTCCTTCTGTAAGTCCATCAGCTCCTTCAGCAGCTCAATCTGACTGGAATCCTGCAAGATTAAAAACCTTTAGAGATGGTTCTCCGTCAGGTTCCAAACTAAAACACTCTTTTAAACAGAACCTTTGCATTAAAAAGACTTCATATGCATGTATTATAAGAAAAGGCTGTTTGGTTTAATGTACCTGCGACAGCTTCATCTGCATGTTCGCAAACACGTGCAGGAAGCCCACAACTGCATCCCACAGTCTGCTGTGAGCCAAGCTCTGCTGGTTTCCAATGCAAGGCCCCTGTAAGCACCAGGTGACAGAAATACAGACGATATAATTATTATTATGTGTACAGTACTTTGGTCCTGTGGGTGTTTAAAGTACTCTATAAATAAAGATGTATGGTATATAATGAAACATCTACTGAGTGTTGTCTGACGGGGGAATCTACTGACCTGGATGTACTCAGTCAGGGAGTTAAATATCTGCTTGGCTACAGATAAAGCTCTGGAGAAGTTCASCTTCCCGGTTTCATCAATGACATCTTTTCCAGAATAATACCAGTAGAAGTCACTGATGGATTCCTGAAGGGAGAGTCAGAGAACGTAAACCACCACCTGTCTCCATCATGATGATGATGAAGTCAGGATTCGTTTTCCTCCCACCTGAAGACGAAGCAGATAATCAACGGTGCTGATGATGATGTTGACCGTCATTGTGTTTCCAGTTTGGGTTCTCAGGAAGTTCTGGAAATCTGGCAGAAACAAAAAGTACTAAATGAAAGTGTCCAAAGCAGCAGGATGTGATCTGGTTTGTGTCTGAGCTGCTCTCACCTCCGTTGTGCCCCTCACAGAGGAGCTGCAGAAACCGGAACAGGTCTTTGGTGAACTCGTCGTTCTGAAGCACCTTGGAGCCTTTTTAAAAACACACATGTTGGTGAAAACATTTAGGAGCTCCACAGAAAAAAATAATAAATAAAAACAATTACTTTTTACATTTGATCAATACTGGAGAGGTCTAAAAGGTGAAACTCCCCTCAAAAACAATTATAAGGCAAGCAGGGCAGGTCTCATGTCCAAACTGGTTTTGAAGTCCTTTAGATTGCAGATTAAGAACTGAATCTAAAGTTCCATAACGTGACGTAAAAATAAACCAACAAAAAAAGCTTTTATAATAAATGAAACGTTTGGACATTTCCATAAGCTGGAGGAAGCGTTGAACTTTCACATGCAGGCCACAGCTGGGCCTGATGAAAGTTAGAAAAGCAGCAGACAGACGTGTTTATAATCTGACCACCTGATCCCACCAGATACAAACAATCAGGGCAGTTTTTACTCTGTAAGCAGGTAAAACCAGGTGAGCGTTAGAGTTCTGTGTCAGGAACAGCTTTGTGAACTGGGTCCCAAAATCCAAAGCAACACAAAGCTTTGCTTTAGCTGTGTGTGTGTGTGTGTGTGTGTGTGTGTGTCCAGACTTATTTTATTTTTTAGACAAACCCAGAGGAAGTGGCTCCGACAGCCTGAGATTTCTGAGCATCAGAAACACGTTAGTAAAGGTTTTCACAGGGGAGAAATGAGGAACAAATGTAGCAGAATAAAAAACAAGCAATGATTTAATGGTTCACTTTTACAGCAGCATGCAGTGTCTGTCTGCAGACACCTGGTGGGAGGAGCTTAAGTTCAAATTAAAGAGTAKGAAGTCTCACAACGGGAGCATCAAGAGCTCACCTGTGGATATGACTTTTTCATGTAATGCTGCGTTCAAGGCTGGTGAAAAGCTGGGAAATCTGAGCTTTGCATTCATCTAATGTTGGGAGAAATACTTCAGCTCATAAACCTTACTGGGTTTCAAAAATGTTACATTATGTAAACAACCTAAAATGAGCAGGTTGACAATTTATCAGAACAAATAAATATTTATTACCAGAAAAATACTTTTTCCTGGTAGTTTTTTCCACAAACAGAATAACCTATCAACGTTTATTTCAGCTTTAAAGTCCACAAAACGACTTTTTTCTTCTGGTGAAAAAACTACCAGAAACATCATTTTTGAGTCATTACTTGAAACGTACAAGAAAAACAGTAACATATCTGGTTATTTTAGGTCRTTCTGCTACAAAAACTACTGGAAACACATTTACTAGTGCTCCTCTGCAAAACTACCAACACTTACAGTGTTTGTGAAAACCTTTGAGTCACGTGTGACAGTGTCTCACACAGGACAAAGTACTCGATGCTTCAAATCTACAGATGTTGTAGTGACATTCACATTATTTTCACTGTACTGTCAACATATATAGGAACTTTATTGATACAATAAAGATTCAAATGTGAACTCAACACATTTTTATTACAATAAATAAATATCAGATTACAGTTCAGAATGATTGAAATTACTGTAAATATTTCGTCAAAACAGGCACTGAAATGAAAAGTGCAGCAGGAGTCCTCTAATTTCCTACAGATGGTCTCAAAGTCCTGCAGTCTGGTCCTCTTCACACAGTCTCTGCAGTAGAAGCTGTTACAGCTGCTCCAGGCTCCACATCTTCTTCACCTGTGCTGATTTCCTCATTCCTAATACGTCTCTTTATTTTGTAGTTTGGCTTGGTGGCCTTTGAGGTCYYATTTTGTAGCCACTTMAGCATGTTTGGAAAAAGAGAGAGGAAACAGTATTGCAGTGATCGGCTGGAGTAGTAGTAAAAATGCTGCTCGAACAAATGCAATAAACCGACAGAATTGATCAGAAATAATCAGGAAAGTATTAGGAGTTATCACAGTTTTAAGAAATTATGCTGAAACAATGGAAAACACCAGAAACACAAGAAAACATCCGTAAATCTATAAAAATATGAAGAAATTAGCTTACCTCGCTGTAGCCAGGTAACATATTTAGGGCTTCCAGTGCCTAAACCAATCAAAATCCTGGATAGAACAAATTACAGATACAGAAGCCAACCAATCACTGACGATCTCTTTAGTCCCACTGAAAAAATGTCTGGCGGAGACGCCTGCCAGGACCTTTTTTCAGTGGGACACAGATAATCTGCAGGGATTTTCATAGTAAATTATATATTTGTTAGGTTTGAGAAGCACATCGGTCAACAACTGTAATTTACGTCAGTAATGTCCGACATGTTTTCACAAACACTGCACTTACAATAGAAGTTTAATTTCCTTTATTGTTTGTGGGCTGGAGGCTACATTTGAAGTAAAATATCTATAGGTTATTTCTACTTTGAAGAAAAAAATACTGAAAAATATATTCACTGTTAAATTGAAGTAAACACTTAAAATGATATTTTTCTGTTAGCTTTTCTAGAAGAATTAAATGTTAATTTTGTGGACTGTGTAGCTGAAATAAGTTTCAAATGTTAGGTCATCTTTTTGTGGAAAAAAAARGAGGAAAAGTATTTTTCTGGTAATAAATATTTATTTGTTCTAATAAATTTTCTACTCATTTTAGGTTGTTTATTTCAGCCGTACAATAAACAAAATGTAACATTATTAGAACCCAGTTACTTTAATATGTCTGTGTGCTTTAATATACTGTAGGGATATTCAACTGGTGGCCCTATCCCAAAAAAATATTTTTTTCCATTGTTAATATAAAATATATTTCAAATAATTTGTAAATGAAAAATGTATGTTTTAATGCAACAAAAATAAACAATTTTAAAATGTAAGAGATAATAATACTTGTTCTGCTCCATGCTGCAGTGTTTCACCTACCATTAATGGACAAAAAAAAAGTCAGAAATGCTTTTCCCCCAGTAACCCAGTAAATGTAAAGCTCAGATTTCCCAGCTTTTCACCAGCCTTGAATGCAGCATTACACGTGTGAAAGTCTCAAAAGTCAAAYTGACAAGCGAGCAGATCTGTGCCCTGACTCATGTGTTGTGTGTTTGCTCACATCCTGTCGTGAGACTTCTTCCTCTCCACACAACAGTACGGTCCACAGACATGAAAAGAGGGACATTCAGGGTTGGAAGCAAAGCCATATCATGATCTAAATTTGCTATTTACCCCGCTTAGTGTGGACTGCCATCGATGGGTTTTTAAAATGACGGGAAGGAGGACAAACGGCACACGAAGACATAAGCAAAAAGAGAGGACACGCAGTTACAATACGAAGAGATATGAAAACATCAGCTACAAGTGGGAGAAACAAAGACATGCAGTTAAAAAATAAATCGTTAAAAGACGAGGAAAGACCGTCTAAACTCAGTCGTGGTGGAAGGTTACGGAGACACCGGCGCTAACGGTGAGTTGTTACATGTAGATCWCAGTGGAAATGGTTAGCAGAGGACTGAATGATGGAGACACAAACAGTTGGACGTGAAAAGCTTTTATGTGAAGACTGGTTGGAAGATCATAATGTCTTCTACTGCTTCTGTATCATCAAATGTGGGCGGAGTTTCTACTCAACACAAACCAACGAGGATGTTCAGAGATCCACAATATTTTTAAAACCTTTTGTATTTTTATTTATACAGTAAGGTGGTATCTTACTGGGCTAGTCTGCAAGTCTACAGMTATCTTAAAGTGCCTGTGACGTCAAATTATTGTAATGAAATTATTTTTGGAAAGATAACATTGAGAATAGGGCTGAACGAATTGCAATTTTTTATCTATAAATTGTGATTCTGATTGAATATGCGATTTTTTTAACATCTTAATAAATCATCTGTTTTACAATAAACAAAGTAAAACTTATTTAAAGCACAAATTACAACAAAGCAAACATATCTGTGGCTTTACCTTTTTATCGTTTCTAATTTTTCTTGTTTCATGAAACATGATATTAAACATGTTAACTTCCTAAACACTGTCTGAACTTCACAGGACAGTCCATAAATAAATAGAAAAATATATAAATATAAAAAAATAAAGCTTACTGTTTTCCAGCCAGTAACATCATGAAAAGATAAAGTGCAAAAAAACATAAAGATAATAAACATCTGCTTTAACCAACTGGTTATTTTCTAGGAAAATCAAACTCAAGTCACTAGATGACATCATCACCTAATATGTTTGCTAATAATTGTGATCTGACTATAGGAGAGATGTTAAAGATAAAAAGTGAAGAAAAACACTAAATATGTTTAAAACTACAATTAAACAATGAAATAAATTTTTTTTATGACTTTAATGCTTAGATCCAATTAAATAAATGAAATTAGTRATAATCTTAAATTTAATCTGCAGACTGTTAGATGTCACCATCAAGGAAAGGAGAAAAGTGATTGGAAAGTTCTGTCACCAAAGCTCCTAAAAGTTTCCAAAAACACCAGGAAAAGTCACCAGATTTGTTGCTAGTCGCTTTTTTTGGGGGAAAAAGTCTCTAGAGGGGTCTAAAAAGCTGTTAGATGTAGCAACAGTCGCTAACTGGCAACACTGCTCCGCTGGTTCACTCTCCAGTCCCGTGACCGGTCAACTCGCAGCCTGGGCAGTTAGGAAATCTCACATATCACAAGATGATCGCAAATGYGATTAATCGTTCAGCCCTAACTGAAAACATACTGCAGAAAAAAATTCACGTCACTGAGCTGAACGATTGTTGAGATATTTGCATGTGAAGAAACAGGAAGTGATGTCACAGGGGAGTGTCTGAATGTAAACAGTGTGTTGCTACAACAGACTGTAGAGAAGAATCTGATGTTTCTGTAGATTATTTTGAGTTTATCAGAGATTAAGAAAAGTCAGAGTTCAAACATTGTTTCAGTAAAGACCAGAGTTCCCCTTTGATGTCACTTCCTGTTTCGCTCTGGCTGAGCCAAATAAATAAAGCCAGTTATGTGACAAAATGTGTACAATCGTGTGTTTTGTGTCAATTTTCTTAAATATAAAGATGTTTTTTGGCCGTTAAGCATTTGAAGGAAATGCATGTCACAGGCACTTTATTTTCTAAATTTCTTGCTCCTCAGCTCGAGTTTTGAACATTTTATTTATTTATTTGTGCGTCAGGTTTGCTCTTGAAATAGTAAAAGTCGGATGTCTCCAACCCGACTCAGAAGTGATTGGCACCTGCAAGGGAGCTAAAAAATAATGTAAAAAAAAACAAAACATGATCAGGTCTAAAAACGATGCAAATGATAAACAATAACTAAAATAAAAAATAAAAATGGCCCATCCAATTAAATCATGAATGAAGGTCAAAGTGGGAACAAACTACGAGCCATGAAGGGAGGTGGACGACAAAATAATTACTTTATTTTTGTGAAAAAGGCACCGTATTATTTTACAACCTGCTCATAAAAAAAGTGATTTTATTTGAATTCTGAGTGGCAGACTAGTTTCTAACTATTCACAGCCCAGTCAGATCCTGAACAAAAAATGAATTCTTAATGTAAATTTATAGATTTTTTAATTCATTGAAAGGACATAAATAAATAAAATAAAAATTGTTTGCATTTATTCACATTTGTTCAAATTCAAGAGAAGCTAAAAGTCTGTGTAACCACAGTGATGAACCCTTTATTTGCAGAAGAACTGGTGAAAAAGTCTGGCAGTGGTGTTCCACTTACTTGAACCCTCCTCTGTCACCATGCCAAGTCCTTCTGCTTTGTTTTGCCGCTCAAACGCGTTCAGGTCCAGGACACTGAGTGAACAAAAGAAAAAGGAAACTAGAGAAACAGCATTTCCTTTAGAAAAAACGTATTCTGGCTCAATCCCACCAGCACCAGGTGTGTGTTTCATGCAGCCAGAATAATTCAGCACCACATACCTGCAGGACTGCATCAGTCCTGACAAGCTCTTGAAGAAGCCTGCGTCTCTTTTTTCTTTCAAGTAATCCAGCATTTTCTGTGACGAGAGGAAGAGCATGGCTTGAAAACACGTGTCCACTTCAACAGGCACATCAGCTGAACACAGCTAGCTCACCTGCTGAACTTGCACATTGCCTCCATTTAGGATGGAGATGCCCAGTTTGAGAGTGCAGGTCACCATGGGGCCCAGACGACCTGCAGGCAGAAACAGCAGCTGTGAGCAGGGCTGACAGGAGGAATTAAACTGGTGTCCACAGGTCGATTCTTTTACCTTTACTGGCACTGATCATCTGCAGCACCATTTCTGCTGCCCCACGAGCGTGCAGCCTCGCCTGCTGATACAGGATTTTCTGCTTCTCCATCTCCTTTTCCTGCAGGTGGAACACACACGTGCACTTACCACCGGGCTTTTAAAATGTTCGCACAAAATGCTGCAGGAACTAAAATGTACCTCAAATGTTTTCTCCTTCCCTTCTTCTTCCTCCTCTTCTTCATCCTCTGCACAGCTCTAAAGAAACACAAACAGATGGAACTAAAACTGCTGAATCTGTTAAAGGCAGGTGTTTCATGAGTGACGAGACAGACCTTTGCCATCATGTCTGCATACGCAATATATAAAGGGTCTTCTTCCAAGTGGCTGTAAAGAAACAACATCAGATTGTGTTTATTGTCTGTGAGGCCATCATTTCACACAGGTTCAAAGCGGGCTGACCTTCTCTCCGTCAGAGCGTTGTGGCTGAAGTGGAGGATGAGCTGGTGCAGAGGGTCAGGCCGGATCTCAGCCGCCTCYTCTTCCTCCTCCTCCACAATCTTCATCGGAGTTTTCTGCACAGGTCCACAGGCCAAGGAGTTAGCTTAGCTCAGTCAGTTTAATGCAACCACAATTCCAAAAAAAGCAAATGTAAAGAAAAAAACAACTGCATTAAATCTATTAAAGTCGTACTTTTTCTTTTAATTGGACCACATTAAATATATTAAATGGGTAAAGTTTGTAGTTTTAGCTGCAGGAACAAATATTTAAAAAGTTGGGACAGGTGCAACCAAACACTAAAAGTAAGGTACGAATGAAACAGCTGACAACAGATCAGGGAGAGGACTGGGTATAACTGGAACTACTGGGTACTGGAACTGGGTATTACTCCTAACATACAAAACTGTTAACAACCGAGCTCCATCATATATTAAACATCTTRTTGTTCCATACTTTCCTAACAGAGCACTTCACTGTCAGACTGCAGGTTTACTTGTGGTTCCTGGAGTTTCTAAAAGTAGAATGGGAGGCAGAGCTTTCAGTTATCAAGCTCCTCTCTTGTGGAACCAACTTCCAGTTTCTGTCCGTGAGGCTGACACTCTGTCTACTTTTAAGATTAGACTGAAGACTTTCCTTTTTCAGAAATCCTGTAGACCTGAATTGGGTCACGCAGACAGCAGAACTGGTCCCAGTCTTTGGTCCAGGAACTCACCCAGCTTGCAGATGAGGTGAACGGTTCCGTTGTTGCTGCAGAAGGACGGGTCCAGGTTGACCAGGAACTTGACGTCCAGACGAGCCACCTCCCCCTGCAGGATGTTGGGGATGGTCTGCCGCTCGTCTTCCTCGTACTTCCTCTTCCTCCCGGAGATGTTGGGGCCCCTGAGGAGCAGAGGAACGGGTCAAACACCGAGCGGTGCGCTGCACGGTGCCGTCTCTGCGGCGGTACCTACATGATGGGCGGCCCGTGGATGGCGCTCATGGCGGGGGCGAAGGTCCGGTACAGGGAGTGGTTGAAGAACGGAGAGCGGATGTCGGCCATGACGGCGTCCAGCAGCGGCTGACACAGATACTGCTGCTTGGTCGGTACTGGTGGAGGGGGCGGAGTCGGCTGAAACAGACAGAAAAGTGATCTGATGAACAGAACCAGATCAGAAACCTGGTCCAGGAGCTGAGAGACCCTCCTCCTCCTCCTCCTCACCACAGCCATGTCGTTCTTCAGCTTCTCCAGAGCAATCTCACACTTCTGCAGCGTCTTCAGAGGACACCTGGGGGACGGATCAGAGGACAGAGGTCACAGGAGACGCTCTTCAGCCTCACAGCTTCGTTTTTAAATAAGCATGGGCTGTGTCTCAATTCATGGGCTGGGTCCTCCTGTCTGGGCCACGTAGGCCACATCCTTGCTGGGCCAGGTAGGCCACATCCTTGCTGGGCCACGTAGGATGCTCAAAACTGCTGT